TTTGAACCCCCTTCAGGTAGTTGAAGGCTGCTATTAAATCCCCTCTCAGTCTTCACTTCTCCAGACTAAATAAGCCCAGTTCCCTCAACCTCTCCTCAGAAGTCATGTGCCCCAGCCCCTGAACCTTTTCTTTGCCCTCTGCTGGACTCTCTCCAATTTGTCCACATCTTTTCTGTAGTGGGGGGCCCAAAACTGGACACAGTACTCCAGATGTGGCCTCACCAGTGCCGTATAGAGGGGAAGAATCACTTCCCTCCATCTGCTGGCAACGCTCCTACTGATACAGCCCAGTATGCCATTAGCCTTAAGGGCACACTGTTGGCTCATATTCAGCTTTCACTGCAACCCCCAGGTCCTTTTCTGCAGAGCTGCTACTTAGCCAGTTCACTCTCCACCCACTTCAGATGTGATTAGGTGCAGAGCTGCACCTGCCATGGCAGAGACTCCCTGGGGGGCTGGGAGCACCAGTTTGCTCCACTCTTGTCCCCCAGATGCTGGGTGTGGGGCTGCACTGCCTGGCCCCTATGACTGAGCACACCCTGCCATGGCAAAGACTCTTCCATCCCTGGCCAGCTCCCCCAGCTCTAAATCACTGCTTGTGATGGGGGGGCTCTCCGTTCTCCTGCTAACAGGTCACATCCATGCTCAACCCCTTTAGCCCACTCCCCCATCCACCTCCATCCTCTACTCCTGGCCATCTCTCCCAGCCTTATCCCCATCCTTGAATCCTGTCCACCTCTTTCTAGCACATCCCCATCCTCCAGCTAGCTCCCTTCTGTCTGGTTTATCCCCCATTCATCTTGCTACATGCATGGCATAGCCAAGATATCATAGCCATGTTCCTCTACGCCCATACCCCAATAGCACTGAGAGGATTACTGCAATCTCCCAGAAGGAACAGAAACAACCCTTTCCAGCTGAACTGTTTGTTTCTGCCCAGGTTCAGCTGAAGAAATGGCCAGTTTCACTGGGCACCGGGCCCAGTTTTTATTTAGCTTCTATCTAAAGCATCTGCAGCCTCCTATATACTGCACTGGGAAAGGAGGACGATATAAACCAACCTAATATGAGGCTAAGACTGGAGCTGCAGGGAAAACAACTTAGTTGTGGGGGAGACATTTCCTTTTGTAGGAAGAAAACTTTCCTTTTATTTCTGCCACCCTCCCCCGGCCCAACGAAATCCTCATGCCTTGCTTTTGTACCCAAGAAACCCAGGCAAAATTTCATAAGGCAGTTTCACAATGCTTCAGCCACAATTAATTCATGAATGAAAACAGAGTTCATTTCATCAGCTGTCTATCAGCTGCTCATTTGTGTACTATACAGGCCAGATCCTGCCTTGATTGAGGTGCTCAGGAAAGCTAGGGTTGATGCAAGAACAGAAGATTAGGTGCTGCATAAAACAGTGGGGATACCTGATGTTTCACTTCACCTGCAATTCTGAAAAACTGAAGGAAAAAAAAAAAATAAATAAAAACTGTGGCTGGCTGATCCAAAATGAACTCTTCAAAAAAAAAAAGTCAGTGAGCCAAACAAAATATTAATTTGGGTTAATCTTGAATTCACGGTTTGGATTTTTTTTTTTTAATTGGTTTTTTCCCTTCCCTTAAAAAAAAAAAAACCAAACCCGGAATTTAAAAATAAACCAAATTAATTTTTTTTTTGCTCCCCTTTTTTTTTTTTTTTTTTTAAGTGAAGGGAAAACACCAATTCAAACAGAAACATTTCAGTTGAAAAAGGTTGATACAAAATGTTTCTCTTTACAGAGCATTTCTTTTTGCTTTCCCCCTTTCATGAGTAAAGTTGGTGAAATCAATAGGAATATGCAAAAAAGTTTGTGTTCCAGAATCTCCCTTTGTCACTGAAAACGTCTGCTGCAAAACATCCATCCCAAGTCACTAACGAGGAGAAATGGCACTGTGAGTTCCTGAAGGGTTTCACTTGGCCTTGCCACTTACTTGGAGCTTCAAACCATTTAGCTGGTTTCTAATTTTCTTCTGTCGCAGGCTTCTGGCCATCACAGGAGTCTGAGACTCAGATGATCTAGGTTCTCAGCTCTGCCACAGATACCAAATGATCTCAGTCACGTTCCTGTGCTTCTATTTCCCCATCTGAAGACTAGAACTAATGACACTTCCACACTTCACCAGGGAGGTTGGGAAGGAAAATTCACTAATGTCTGTACAGGGCTTGGTGATACACAGGTGGAGTGCACTGGGGAGGGCAGGCTATAGGTTTGGCATTCTTCAGGACCAAGACCACACTGATGTGTCGTTGTACAGCACCCAGCATCCTGATGCCCCTGATCTCAGTAGAGGCCTCTGGCTACTGTCATCATCGAACTAATAATAACATTTTCATCTTTCTCTCCCTATCCCCTTTCAGGGCTCTCCCCTTCCCCTCCAAAAAGTTTATTGGAAATTGCTACTTCAGCCCTTTGGAACCTGACTTTTTGCTGGATTAAACTGTGCACTGCAACCCGTCATATCACTTCATCAGACATGCCAACAGCTGACAAGAAGCCACTGTTCCATGTCCCCCCTGAACGAAAAATAAAAAGAAGCAGACAGCCAGTGTCCGAGTCAACTGCTGCCTTTGTTTCCATAAAGTACTTGCCAACTCAAAGACACCTCCACCATCGGCCAGTGCCTACAGTCTTCTCCAGGCCAGCTCCAGCCCAGTACCAGGCTCTCTGCTCTGCACAAACACGTGCAAAGATATGTGTCAGCCCCTTGTAGACAGACAATACTTACCCAGGAATGTGGCCCTAAGGGTGAACAGAAGAATTCGTAAGGTCAGTGCTTACTGAATGCTGAGCACCTTGAAAAATCTGGCGCGGTACAGCTACAAAACATAGTACTGCTGTGGCCCTCTGGTTGACTGTCGCCTCCCCAGTCATTGGCCGCCGCATGGAGTCAGGGTCTAACAGCCTGACCACGAATGAATGGTGACAGTAAAGCCCCAGGATCATGGGTCCTCTTATACTGGGCTCCCCATGAGAACGGGTGCCAAATGTTCTCCTGCAAACGCTGCAGCCCCCAAGCTGAGTACCTATGGAGATGGGTAGTGATCTACTCCTGCCTATGCATAACCTAGCCACTACCATGGACTACCGTCAATAAAAGGTTAATCAGGAGGGATTCACGGGATACTAAAACTCTTCTTCCTTATTACTCACATTGAAAGAGCTACACCAGGTGTGGCTCATCAGCTGCAGCAGCCCAAGTGACGTATAGCCGAATGTACATTCATATCCTGTTAGGAAGGGGGGACACAGCAGAGGCAAGTGGGGATGAGACAGGATGCCTTTCAGACATGTGTTCAAATGACAGTGAGGGCACCAAAAGGATCCTGGTCATGAGAACAGACCGAGTGCAGTCGACTTTCCCATCAGGGCAGGATGCCTAATGACCCCTCCGTGTGTGTGCACCTCCTCAGCACCCCAGCAAGGGGGTCATAAACAGTTTGCGAGGAAACCCAAGTGGAACAAAAAAGGGACACCTCCACTCACACAGTGGGACTCTGAAGTGTCTTCCGTTAAATAAGAGACAAGACCTCATGAAAGCGAGCCAGGATATCAGTAACATTAATAACATCCCTTGTATTATTCCACAGTAAATAGCCTTCGACCCTTACATTAACATTTCCCATCCACAGATCTCCAAGCATGCTACCAAGGAACTCCATATTATTATCCCTATTTCACAGAAGGGGAAACTGATGTACAAAGTGAAAAAGAGATTTGCCCAAGGTCTCCCAGCATGCCAGTGATAGAGCTGGGATTAAGAGCACAGTCCTCCCAACACTTAGTTCACGGTTTTATTTCCTAGTCCACATGAAATGACAGGGCCAGGGCCTATAGTTCCTAAACCTCTGAGGGCTCCCAGAATGCATCAGGAGCACCGCTCATGATAGGCCTGGCACTGCATCCCTCCTTCTATTCCTACCTCCTCCTGTAATATCTGAATCCATGATCACTTTGGTAGCTTCCCTGCCAGCACTGCCCTCTTGGTAGTTACCGGTCCACCCCTATTGTTCACTACCTACTGGACATACATTGTTCAGAGGGGCCCACCATTTCTATGCTCAAAGTTCACTGCCCCCCTCTCAGCACTGGTACCTCTGCCGCCGAACTCAGAACTAATCTCAATTGCACAGACAAACCCAGAGACAGGTCTGCATCAGGGCAAACTCTTATTGTAAGGATTTTGATTGGCAGAAACAAAACCAAAAATAAAAATCATCACAGAATGATTCAGTTCTAGACCCTCTTTATTCACACACAGATGGAGAATGGGCTACGAGGAGTGAAGGTCCTCCAGGAAAGGACAACAGGTGGTATCATCTCCCAAGGTGATGCATTAATGATACTCACCTAGTGCCATACAGTTCTATTCATATGTGGCTTATGATGGATCTGGCCAGAGAATTCAGTACATTTGAGCATTACTCAAATGCTGCCCATCATAAATAAACAGGGAGATGTGCCCCAAGCAGTCAATAAGAGTGCAGTGCTGCTCTGCACCAGGAAAAAAAAGTGTAACTATCTCCTTTCCCATTACAACTGCCCTGCCACTTCCAAGAGCTGTTCATTTTGACCTTCCCCAAAACGTGTGCATATGCAAGGGATGGTTCAGAACAACATTCCTTGCATACGAAAAGTTTCTGGGAAACAAGGAGGCTGCATTTTGCCTCTTCCCTTCACTCTCTCCACCTTACCTCAGCCCCAGCTGAACACAGGGGGACATTTCAATGCTCAGCAGGAAGAAATGCATCAAAAACACAGCTCAATATCAAGAGATGGGCCTGGAAGAATTACAGGGCTTAGTAAAATGTGTGTATTAAAGTTCTGTTTCCCTTCCCATTCATTTCCTTTCTCTTGTCTTCCTCCTGGCTGCCCTACACCCTGCCAGATCAGGTGTGTCTCAAGCAAGCAGGATGCAGCACCTTAACCCCCTAACCCACTTTCTCTCTGCTGAGAAGCAGAGAGACCGTCTTACCTGGGTTTCCCGATCCAGTGAGGCTCTGGCAGCAGGCGGTGATTTTGGTTCGTAAATCCAGTTTGCGGCAGGAGGTTGTTCTGTGCTGATCACTCCTCTGCTTCTCTACTCCGTCAACTCTTTCCTTCTCCCAGACTCTCCCCTCACTCTCTTTCTGGCTATGTCAGGAAAACCTATTACTTGTTTCGACTTGAATCAGAGGGGAGGGGCAGGTGAAAAACACCTTCCCACCCACAAGGACTGACGCAGCCAAAGCCTTACAGGAGCAAGAGGCAAAGCACAAGCCTGATACCAGGCAAAGGGTTGGGGGGCAGGGAGAGAGAGAGAAAAGTTCTCTCACGTATGTAGCAGGAAACCTACACCATGCTCGACATGTCCCAGGTGCAGCAGCCCGGCTAATCCAGGTGTACAACTGCCATGTTATCCTAGTACTGAGAACAGCACATCACCCCGAGGCCAGCACCTCCGACTGGGCCCAAATTCTGCATTTGTAACACTTACAAGTTACAATATAAGCAATACCACCTGTGTCCTACCCAGCAAAATAAGACGGTCTGAGCATTTCAGACACACATACTGCCCTTAAGAGTGTGCAAGCAATGGCAAGAGTAACCTGATCCCGGGCTGCATTGCATAAGGTGATCACTGGGGAGGTGAGGGGGCAGAAAGGAATGAATCCCGGCTACCTCTCTTAAAGATATACCACTGTATAACTCCGTGGGGGCCAACCTCTTTGCTAGATGGGCCACGAATTAGCCCCATACCCTTTCTGAGTGCCACTCTGATCCCTTTCCCCTGCTCAGTCTTCTGCTTTGCTTGCTGCTTCCTGCCCTGTGCTCTCTGCCCAATCTGCTGCTCTGCTTGCTGCTCCCAGCCCTATCTGACACTGCTGCCTGATTCCTTCCCAGTCTGCCACATACCACACACAGAGGCTGCCCACACCACTGGTGGCATCCATGCAGCAAGCTGGCCACCTCTGGTATAACTAGCCAGAGAAGATGCTGGCTGCTGCTGAAGCAACAAGTATTGACCACTGTTGCAAAAGGACTATCAGACTGGAAGGATAAATGGTCTGAACCAGTCTAGGAAGCATTACAAGCTGCTTCCCCTCTTACTTACCTAGCGCAAATCAGGAGCGAGTCTAGCAGGCAGCCTTCCTCTCTCATTCACCACAGTGACACTGAAGTGGCTCCACTGATTCTGTTCTCATCTTAGTGTAAATCAAGGTAATACTACCAAGCTCAATTCCTCTGTCCCTTACCTTTTGCAAATCTCAGAGTGAGGACAAGTGTAATGTTTGAAATGTTTCAAACTATAAAGGGGCTTGAATTGTTTAGGAAAACGGAGTTGCCACGGTGGGAAAACACACAGCCCCTGCTGCATCTCCTGGCTGAAGCGCTTTGAAATCACTGCAGCTGCATGCAGCATAAGTCCCCAGACAGGGGCTGTGACAGGGAACTATGATGACCTGTGGTGCTCCTTCCACCACTTGGGTGTCCACACACAACACTCAGCCAGTTTACTGTTGCCTGGTTCAACAGAACATTTTTTCCAGGTAGGGTTTTGAACCTTTAAACCAGTTTAATGGTCTGGTACGTCTGTCCTCTTCAGGTTTAAACTGCATTTAAACCAGTCACGTGCGTCTACACCCTAAATGGGGGGAGTCCAACTTCTAAGTGGCCAAGGGCTGCATGCACACATTATGCAGGCACTCCCTGCTGAGCCGCATTCATGGATGCCCTGGCTTCACCCTCAGCTCCCCAACTACAGGATCCCCTGACAGCATGGGGGCAGGGGGCAAAAAGTGGAAGCCAGGAGAGAGAGACCAGGGACTTCAAATTAATCTCTTGTGGGTTATGTGGAACCCACCAGGCCACCAGTTGGACAGCCCTGCTCTAGATGACCCCGTGAGTCCCTTCCAGTCCTATGTTCTTGTGATGCGAGGTTCAATAACTATTGTATAGGGTATGGTTTTGTTAGATGTTGCAACTTTGCAAGCCTCCACAGGCACCAGGTTTCCTTTCAGTTTTGGTACCTGCTCAGAATAAAGACACTAACCCAGATGGCTGCGTTGTGCTGTCTTCACTGGGTTAGTCTCACCCCTTCCAGGGTGCACTCACAAAGATATACAGTGTGATTCTAGGTTTAATCTCCCAGGAGGGAGGGCTAAAACCTGGGTCTCCCACTTCCTGAATGCAGGGCCAACTATTCAGCTACTGGGGCTAAAACACTGGAATGTTGTTGGCCTCCTCCCTCTCCAGCTAATACCCCCTAGGGATGGGTTTTTTGCCAGGTAAAATTTGGACTTACAAAATTTCCGAGTGCTCATCTGAGACTGAATTTTCCAGAGTGCTGTGACCAAATCTGCAGACTTTCCTGGGAATCTAACCCCGAGTCTGCTGCGTTATGGTAGGTCTTTCATGGACAAGAAGCTAGGTACAGTGACGCATCACACCGACACAGTGAGAAACAAGCTCACAGGTCTTCATTATTATGCATTCAGCACTCAACATGGTCAGTGCACATATCGAAAGGAGATTTCCTCCCCAAGGGGTGGACAAATTACATGAGGTTTGGGCAGTACAGGTATGTCATATATGGCGCCCAGGTTAGAGGTGCAGCACACAGGTTTGGCAGACAGAGCAAATGAAAACATAGGACTGGTTTTTTGTTTGCTGACAATCAGGCGGAGGCTGTTGATCTCCGAGATACCAAAACCCAGGGAGAGGAGACTCAGCTAAACACTGCTGCTGTCAGCGCTAATCTTCCCTGTGCCATAAACACCATGTTGCGTACAGCGCTAGGGCTGGGCAGCTGCTGCTTTTACAGCCTCCTAGGCCTGTTTGGCTCACGATGAGTCAGAAGAGCCTAACCCAATTGTCAGGGAAGGGCTGTGCTCTCTGCCCCACCATAGCACGGAAACAAACAGAAGTCATGGGGTGAAGACAGGGTGGCACCTGTCCACAACCTGTCTCCTTCAGGTAAGACATAGCTCAAACCAGCTCAGGAGTGGGTTCCCTATCGCCTACACTCAAGAGCTGCCTGATCACAGTAAGAAATATTGTTGGATGGAGACAATCCCTCAGCAGAGACGGGATCTTTGGTCATATAAATATGGCTTTTTATTTGAGACTGTATATGCTAATAGTACAGCCAAAGGTCAGAGCAGAGCCCTGGGAGCCAGGCCTCCTCCTCTTGACACCGATAAACTTGGTGACCTCAGGCAGGTGGGGTATAATGTAGACTGCCTCTTCATGATGCGCCCTGGATAACGCTAAATAGTCTACATCTCGATGACGCAGAACTGTCCTTTGGACCCCATGGCTAATGACAGCAAAGACAAACGAACGTCAACAGATCGTCGCAGAGCTTTCAGACCCGTAACGTCAGGACCTCACTGTGCATCTGCCAACTCCATATTGAGGGGACTCCTGAAGCAATCAGCTGGCTGCAAAATCTGGACATACAACTGCGAATGCGTTTTTCCTTGCTTTGTGATCCTCGTTGTACCATCATATGCCAAAGGCCCCCCCAGGCAGGTCATAGCCTTTTCCAAGTCCATTTCCAAGCCTGTAAAATAGGGACACTAACACGGATCTAGATGAATGAAGTACTTTGAGATATTCTGATGACAAACAGACTGCTGATGTGCGGGAGAAATGTCCTTGGACAAAAGATTAAGCTACCACACCCAACCCACCCTTTGTCAGCAAACAAATGCTCCAGTACCTTAACAGGCCCTGAACAGTTCAACTGTACCAGTTTCTTCAGTGTAAATGCAGTTTTCCCAGGCTTATACTGATCCATGTAGCACTCCCCATTTATACTCTGTACTGGATAAGGATTTGCAGTGGAAAATCTATTGCTGCCCCAGTATTTCTGCTCCTCTGCCAGACACATCCCTGCCAGCTCCCCTTCCTCTGTCAGAGGTGTAGCAGAGTTCCCAGCCCCTGGGCAACAGGGGATGGATCAAAGCAGGGCTCTTGCCCAAGAGAAGGACTTCAATAGCAGAGTCTTGTCCAGCTGAAGGATGCAGATTTGAAAGAAGTCACTTGCTGGACCCAAGAACTGGGCGCCTGCATCCACATGTATTTATTTATTTGATTTACATCCTGTCCCATCCAAAAGGCCCAGAGCAGCTGACAATATAAACACACAAATAACCTTGGGATAGGATTCCCCTAAGAGCATCCTGAAACTTGAGAACTCAAACTCCCCTCCTCCCTCCCCAACCACCTCTTCCCTGCCTAAACCCCTTTACAAGCAAACCAACCTTCCAGCCAATCTAAACCATGCTTCCCAGCCACCATTTATAGCCAAATACAAGAAACTTCTTCCTACTTCCCCCACCCCCTGCCCTCCCACCTTCCCCCAACATCCCTTCCAAGCCTATACCCCCTTTTCTATAGGTCTGTGCATGTCAGCCCCCGCAAAACACCCTCAAACCAGACATAAGCATCCCAAGTTTCAACACTAGCATGTGCCTTACCCTGCCAAATCTCCCATGCACGCCAACCGCACCCACTATCCCTGAGTAATCTCCCCATCTGAACACTACTACATTGTGGGTTTATGGGCATAGTGGTGAGAGCCAGGGTGTTGGGGGAGCACACTGTAGACATGTTATTGGGGTGAGGGTTAAGTTGCCTGTAGCAGTCACTCCGTGGGTATGTTGGCAGGTGGTAAGGATTGAGGTGTATGTTTGAGTAACTCTCTGGATACAGCAGTGCAGGATTAAGGGTCAGGAGTATAGGCGGGGTAATTTCTTAACTGTGTTCAGAGAAGGCTGAAAATGAAGGTTTAATGGGAAACGTACAGGGACATCTTGGTAGAATCAGATGAGAACCATTAAGCTCCAGTGGAAAGGAAAGCTGGTCCCGTGGCTGAGATATGGGGATGGGATTCGGGAGAGCACCCCATGCCCTGTCTTCAGCCACAGCTAATCCTTGAGGCTTCAAAGAATGCTAAACACAAAACAAGCAAGCAGAATACATCTTGCCAACTGTGCAACAGGGGGAAAAAGTCCAAACGACTGCAGGTAACCAGCTGAAGCCCTCAAGCATGAGAACTGATCATTAGAGTAATTGTCTTAATTCAAACAAAGCACGTGAACAACCCTTCTGTTCTTTCTGTAGGCTATGAAAGAAAAGGAC